GGTGTGGGCAGAGGTAGATGGGATTCACCTGAGCTGAGACGGGGCTTTTAAGGGCAGCGTCACAGGGACACCAATAGAAGAAGCCGAGAAGCAGCAGAAGCCGAAAGAAGCAGCCGAGAGAGAAGCAGAGAAGGCCGGAGAGCCCAGATAGAGTGAAGACTTGCTGGGGGCTGGGAGGACTGCCAGTCTCCCAACCCCCCAGCACCCCTGCCTGCTGTGTACCGGGTGAATCCCAATAAAAGACCTGCATAAAACCCACTGAGGACTCTCAGTGGACTCCTTCTTTACCTAGTCTGCTGGATCATAGAACACCTGCACCGTGTCCATTCCTGACCCTACAATTGGCGTAAGTCGGCAAGATGATCCATGCAGACAGGTATGGAGTCCTCCGAAGACCTGGAGGGACTAAGGAGTAACAGACTGTTTGCCTGTGACAGCACTGGAGATGCCATGGTGGCATAGAGGGTGGAGCTACGCAATAAGACCACGCCTGGAGGGGGAGACGCCCGAGAAGACCAGCAAATGACACCCAAAAGGACCAGCCAACGACCCCTGAGGCAGCAGAATCGTTGGGGAGGAGAGGACCACGATTCGGAGCTCACCAGTGCTGATTCAGGGAGAGGCCAATGGATTTGGCCTAATGGACTTGGACTGATGAACTCAGACTGATGAACTTGAACTGACAATCCTGCCAGAAGGCGGAGGATCTTGGCAGGTTATTTATTTTTTTTGGGAATCTGGGGGTGGCCAGTGAGCCATGATGGCCAAAAGCAGCCTATATATGCCTATGTTGGAGGAGAAAAGCCAACTGAGAAGGCAAAAGCTGGTGCTGATGCTAAGTTGAGAAGCCCTCAGCGGCTGTTAAGCAGCCTCAGTATGCTGAAGACCAGTAAGTCTCATAAAATCACCTGTGGGTGATGCCCTGCTCGTTGTCAAGTGAGGGTGAGTTGCTGAGGAACCCGTCCTTGGGGGACGGGTGGGGAACGTGGCCTGGGGTGGAGCCCAAGCCAAATGTAAAGTTTGGATCCCCGACCCATGTGCTTGTGCAGTGGGTTGGCTTGAGTGCAGGGGTCTGCGAGTCGCATGGGTGGCTATGAAAGCCGAGTGTTGGAGCGACTGCAGACAGAAACCCTGAGGGTTGGCGATTACCCCCAACAGAATAGAATCGCCAATCCCAGAGCTAGTGCATCCTGGGGGTGGATGTGGTGTGTGGCTTATAGCGGAGACTACAGCCAGAGATGGTCAGGAAGACTGACAGCTCCTGGTGTGTTACAGTAGATGCCATGAGTGGTTCCCCTTCCTCGTATGAGCAGTGCCTTCGGCAGCAGATTTGTTGGCTCATCTGCTGGTACCAATAATTGTTTTTTGCACTAGGTTGGGGCCCTGCCTGGACTTATTTGTGTTCTGTTGTATTTTGTTGTTATATTGTGATGTATTTGCTTTTGTGGGCCATGGCTGCATTGTTTATGTTTGCTAAGAAAATTGTATATATATAGACTATATGGCAGCAAACCCCGAGGGGGTGGACTGTAGGGTAAGGAAAAAATGTCAGGCTTTTCTGCCCTCCCGCCATCAAGATAGATGATGGATCCTTGTGGTCCTGAATGCATGCCTGATGGCGGGCACCTGGAGTAGGGTGTGGGCAGAGGTAGATGGGATTCACCTGGGCTAAGATTGTGCTTTTTAAGGGCGGCGTCACAGGGATGCCAATAGAAGAAGCCGAGAAGCAGCAGAAGCCGAAAGAAGCAGCCGAGAGAGAAGCAGAGAAGGCCGGAGAGCCCAGATAGAGTGAAGACTTGCTGGGGGCTGGGAGAACTGCCAGCCTCCCGGCCCCCCAGTACCCCTGACTGCTGTGTACCTGGTGAATCCCAATAAAAGACCTGCATAAAACCCACTGAGGACTCTCTAGGACTCCTTCTTTACCTGGTCTGCTGGATCATAGAAAACCTGCTCCGTGTCCATTCCTGACCTTACACATGGGAATTCTAAGAGAGCTTGAAAATATTACCTAGGGCCTCCCCGGTGGCGCAGCAGTTGAGCGCTGGGCTGCGATGCAGCACCACCCGCTGCTCCCCTCAGCAGTATACTTCGTCAGTCTGCCTGTTCTGCTCCCCGCTCTGGTGAATTCTCTCACCCTCCTGCGCTTCTCACTATACCCAGTGCTTGTATAAATAAATAAATAAATAAATAAATAAATAAATAAATAAATAAATAAATCTTAAAAAAATATTACCTAATCCTTAATCTTTACTCCTGCCCAGGCCTAATAAACTCAGTGGGTAGATAAGGCTTTGGTAGAATGTTCTCACCTACTGAGAGAATAACAGCTCTTTTCTATCTCCTGAAAAGTCAAGGAAGGGACTGCCTTTATGCACCAGTTTCATAAAAGAGAATTTTTAATGCATGAATTCATTTTAGGTCAATTAATATATAAAATGAGCTAGCTGGGCTTTCAAAAATCTTAATACACTGAAATTTTGAGCTTTCTGACCCAAGTTTTCATTTTCCTAATACTGTTAGCCAATATTCTGTTTCATTGGTGATTGAAAGGCTTCAGACAGGAGAAAAGATACTTGGATTTCAAAATAACATATTTGAATCAGACATTCTATTTTACCTATTTTTCAGTAAAATGAACATAAAAACACCAATGATATTTCTATTTTTTATTTTAACTGAATGTTTTATATTAATTTTTTATTAAAATTTAGCCTGCAGTGATCTCGGACAATTCCTAGTGTAGGTGCTTCCTATGTCAAGGATTTAAGTTTTCATCAACAAATACAGGGGAAGATACTGCATTGATGAGACCTATCCTCCTTTTCACTCTGATTCATATTTTCACAAGTAACATTTCTAGATACTAATCCACAGATGCTTTATTATAATGTAGAAAGGCAGATCCGCCATGGAAAGTTGGGTTATTTCATTACTGATTCAAGGTACTTATTTTCTATCTCTTGATATTTTTTACTATCTGGTCAGGCCTGAATCAGGAATATGACCCTTCCCTACAAGCCACTGTACTGCATTTTTCAGGGCCATGACGATGGATAGCTAGTGTTCAATGAAATATGTCTGTTCCTTTCAAGGATGCTGATATTAGTGTCTAACAACACCAGAGAGCCATTTAATTGACAAGGCCAAAAAGAACAGTTATTCCAGAAATAACTGTCAATAGTCTTATTATTGACTACCCTTAGACTGCCCAGCAGCCTTTGAGAATTCTGAATGAGGAAACTCTCACCTCTATTGAAGTTCCTACATTACCTTCTTTCCTATATGCTCTTTTTTCCTTGCCACTCAAGGAGGCAACATTTTCTGAATACTGGCTGCTATACTCCAGACACGGCACCACTTTCTAATACAAAACTTCCTCTGTGAAAATGACCTCCTGGTTCAGAGTATGGCTTTCTGATTGTGGCTGATAGGACACCATTCAGTCTGTAACTAATTTAACTAACTCTATCCATCACCCCAAAACTCCTGCTCCCACCTGTGGAACACTATATTAGTAAAAGAAACTTGACAACTCTAAAACACGAAAAATACATTCAAAGTTCTTGAAAAGTACTAAATGTGTGTAATGCAAAAACCTTTGAAGAATGAATCCTGCTAAGTTAAATGACAAATACATTATAATGTGACTCTGCGAAGAAATATTAGCAGACATTATTTCATCTTAAGAACCTGAAATCTAATGGAAAAATTCAACTGGAGTAGAATACTAATCAGAGCTAACAAATCAATAAGTAAGTAAAAATCAGTGGAAACTTTTGGTAAGTTACATATTTAATTAGTTGTATTTTGTAGCACCCAACTCTATTTACTATGTTAATTTGGAAATTTGGGGAGAATGTGAGTAATATTATTACTATAATTTTTTTGCAATGTTTAAAGTTAATTATTAAGGGAATAATTTCTTTAAGGTTTTAAAATATTAATATTTTAATGTAAAAAGTCCTTAAGATTTCCTTGTAACATGTGGTTTATGCTTCAGCTTTTGGAGTTCTTTGGTCCTTGACCATGACCATGAAAGAATTCAAAGCAACATCTAAGCAAAACAAGACAAAGTTTATTAGAAACTGAATGGAAGTACACCTGGGAAGAGGGCTGGGTGGGCAGAGTCTTTGGAAGAACAATTGCAAGAAAAGGTGGGGGATTCTTGGCTTTAATGGGGTACAGTGGTACCATCAGATTTATTCACCTAGGAGTACATCTCAACTATTGCTACTCTTCCCACACGTAAGGTGAAAAGGCAGCTGCAATCTCTCCAGGCTACTCATCAAAAATAAGGCATGGCCTCCCTGGTGGCACAAGGGGTTAAGCACAGCACCATGAAGCCTCTGCAGCACGAGTTCGATCCCCATCCCCGGCCAACCAGGGAGCTACCCACATGGCACAGTGGACCTCACCTGTCTCACCTGCTGCTCCCCTCAGCAGTATATTTCAGTCAGTCTGCCTATTATGCTCCCCACCCTGTCTCTGGTGAGTCCTCTCACCCCCTGCACCTCTGGCCTGTACCCCAGTTTTTATATACATAAATAAATCTTTAAAAAAAAATGAGGCACAATTTCTCCATGGTTTCCGTGCTCTTCCTAATTCTGGGACTGACCATGAGTGGGCCTGTGGGAAGCAATAATACGTATGTATACAAGTTCTCTTTCTTCTCCCCCAAATTCTCTCACATAGCTCAGAAAGTGTTTTTACTCTTCATTCAGCATAGAGAAAAATTAGTTTTCACATCAGCAAATATTCTTCCAACTTTTTTCATAACATATTCATCATTCTTTGAAGGAAAAAAACCCACCGATCTCAAAAAGTTATATCTTAGAATTGACAATATTTAAGATTGTTGTTTATATTTTTTGTTATTTATATTTTATTTAGAAACTCAACAAACTTCTTTAGAAAGGTTGAGTTATTATCTTCCATTTCCTGATAAAGTAAATCTTACTGATTTAATGAATGAAAAGCCTAGGGGCAACGAAGAAAAATAGGAAAAAATGTTCAGACTTTATTTTGATAAGAAAGTAAGAAAAAAAACACTCAGTTTAAATAAAATTGTATAGATCCTCCAACACAGATTGTCACGGTTCTTTATAGATTGTTTTGCATAATATCAATGATTTCACGATAAACTTTATCATATACATCTAATCCAAACAAAAAGTCTAGATGATTGTAGTAAGAAATGGTTTTGTGGTAAATGTGCCTTGTGATTTCAGAAAGTAAAACTCTGACATCTTCAGGATCAGCCAAGTAGTCATTGTTACCATTCCAAGTAGCAGTTGATACATTCATATTTGACACATTGTACACTGGAGATTCTGTCTAAATATAAAAGGTGAAAATAACAGTTTTCATGGGGAATGATACAGAGATAATATTATTCACCAATTCTTTAAAGATTAAGTACTATTTAGTTATTTTATATCCAAAGGGGCAGGTTTATTATTAAAAGGAGGAAAAGGTAAAGAATATTTGCACAGACACAAGCAGGCAGAAAAAGCTGCCTGAGAAAGGGACAGGTTTGCTAAAAGAGATTTCTGCATAGGGCCTCCCCGGTGGCGCAGCGGTTGAGCGCTGGGTTGCGAAGCTGCCCGCGGCCTCTGTGGCGCCAGTTCGATCCCCGGCTGCTCCCCGGCCACCAGAGGAGGGTCCCACATGGCGCGCAGACCTCTCCTGCCGCCCGCTGCTCCCCTCAGCAGTGTACTTTGGTCCTTCTGCCTGCTCTGCTCCCCGCTCTGGCTATGGTGAATTCTCTCACCCTCCCGTGCTTCTGACTGTACCCAGTGCATGTATAAACAAAACAAACAAACAAATAAATAAATAAGACATGCCTCTAGAAAAATTAAAAAAAAAAAAAGATTTCTGCATAGTCACAGTAGGGCAGCCTTGGGGGGAGAGCTGCCTCTGCTGCTTTGCAAAGGGAGGTCAGTGAAGAGAAGCACCTGCATGGTCACAGGTCACAGGCGGGCAGCAGGGCTGTTGCCAAGTACTATTTAAAAGAAGCTAAATTTCAAAACATTATTGCTATGGAAGCAGAGTATGAAAAAAATAACTATTACAGTTTTTTCTTAGAAGTAAATCATTTATAAATCAAAACTAGACAGTTTGCTCTAAATCAGAGTATGCAGACATTTCATAGAAATAATGGTAGTTTTGTTTATAAAGCATTAAATTTTAACCAAAATTTCCTGTGGCTGTGTAACTATCAGTATGATTATCAATAAATGATAAATATTACAGTTAAGATCAAATTTGATTTTATTGGATTTGATTTTTGTATTTTACTTCAGACTTTTATAAGAGTGAATCACATATGGCAGGGTTTCGCTAATACTGAAAAATATGGTGGAAAAGCATGAACTTCAAGGTAGACGTCAGCTGGGTTCTATTCCTTTAAGACTTTTGTCATTATCTCATACAATTTTTACCAAAATTAACTTCTACTTGAAAAAAAATCTTCTATTTTATCCTAATTGCTGTATATTTGTCATACTTCCCCAAATACAATAATATTTTTAGGACAACACACTATATTATACATTTATTTCTTATTTAAGAAAGCATGGAGCCATGCATATTATAATATTTTTCCTCTTGAACAATGATGAATTATTCTACTGCCTGACAATTTTTCTAGCCTTATCCAAGATAACTGTTGTTAAAAATAGGTAACAGGGAAAAGCCATTTGGTTGGTTGTGACAATAAGGATCCTAGTCAACATGATCTTCATTGTAGTCCTTCTTCTGGTGGTTACTGTTTCTCAGGCTTTAAAGATGAGCCTTAATCTATAGCAAAATCATCTGAACCTACTAAGAAAATAACTTATAGTTTATACCTAATTATTTACCTGATGAAAATGAGCCAAGTTCTGAGCAGGACTTCCCCAGTCAAAAGCTTTCAGTTGCCTAGAAGTAAAAAGCTGAAAAAAAAAAAAAAAAAGTAAGACGGTACTCCTTTGCCCGTCACAGTGCTGCTAAGTATACATGGCACACATGCACTCCTTGTCCTGGGTCTGCTGGGAGAAGTCTAGGTGGGTTTCTTTGTTCCTCATCTCCTTTTGATAGGGTAAGAAAAAGGAACATAGGCCTTTCCTGGTTGCATACGGCAGGCTGGCCAGGGAGCTAACCCACATGGCCTAGCAGACCTTTCCTGTCTCTCCCGCTGCTCCTGTCAGCAGTTATCTCAGTAGATCTGACTGTTCTGCCACCCACTCTGTCTCTGGTGAATCCTCTCACACACATCCCCCCCTTCTCCCTCACAACTCTGGCTTACATTCCAGTTCTTGCATGCATAAATAAATACATCATTTTTTTAAAGAAATATATATACATATATATAATAAATAAGAATATATAGAATATATATAGAATAAATAAGAAAAGCAATAGATACACAGCAAAATGCTATGGTGTGATTTCTATTTTTCCTTCATGCTTTTGGATATTTTTGTCTTTGTATCAGAATGACTGATTAGAACAAATAACCCCTAAATATTTATTGAATAACAAACACAGTCCCATATTATGAGTAATTAGAACAATTGTGAAAAGGAAAATGTGAATTAATTTGATTCTATTTTTTTAAAAGATTTATTTATTTTTATACAAGAACTGGGGTACAAGCCAGATGCGTGGGAGGGTGAGAGGATTCACCAGCTACAGAGCGGGAAACAGAACAGGCAGACTGATGAAATACACTGCTGAGGGGAGCAGCGGGCAAGACAGGAGAGGTCTGCTTTGCCATGTGGGATTCTCACTGGCTGGCCGGGATCGAACATGCACTGCAGAGGCTGCAGACAGCTTCACAGTGCGGCACTCAGCTGTCTGCACCACCAGGGAGGCCCTAATTTGATTCTATCTTATTCTTTTTGTCAGCACAATTAGGTTTGCAAAAGTCTTTCAAATCCCTTACTGAAAGTGCAGGATTTACTAAACAGGACTTATTTATGCAGTCACTGACTGTGTCAAAGTCTAATTTCTCATAATTTCTGAAAAGAGAAAGTGTCCTTCAAAACAAAGAATACATTTTAGAAGTTCCTAATACATTTAAACAATGTACAAATGCATACATTTTGTGTATTTATAAGATACTCATAGAAACACCTAAAAATAACTCCTTACCATCCTAACAAACAACTCTAAGTGTATATACTCTTGACCCAGACTATGATTCAAGCTATTATTTAGAGAGTACTCTGTAGGCAAAATATTTGTCCAAAATTTTACTCCATGTATTGCAAAAGTCAGTCAGTTATTCAATAACAAAAATTTCAAGAATGCTATGATGATTGCATGTTTATTAATCAATATGATTCAAATATAAAAGCCAGTCAATCTAAAAATAATTTACTATGTTGCCAATTCAGCTATCAGTTTAAATTTTCAAACCAGTTTCCTCAGCAAGTCCACGAAAAATTTGATTTTAACATTATTTTTCAAAATATATTTTGCCATTTTAAAAACCATAATTAAAAACATGTACCAGGGCCTCCCCGGTGGCGCAGCGGTTGAGCGCTGGGGTGCGAAGCTGCCCGCGGCCTCTGCGGCGCCGGTTCGATCCCCGGCTGCTCCCCGGCCACCGGAGGAGGGTCCCACATGGAGTGCAGACCTCTCCTGCTGCCCGCTGCTCCCCTTAGCAGTGTACTTCGGTCCTTCTGCCTGCTCTGCTCCCCGCTCTGGCTCTGGTGAATTCTCTCACCCTCCCATGCTTCTGACTGTACCCAGTGCATGTATAAACAAAACAAACAAACAAACCAGCAAACAAATAAATAAAGCATGCCTCTATAAAAAAAAATAAATAAATAAATAAATAAAATAAAAACATGTACCATCAAAATGCATTGCGCCAAATTTGAACACCTCAGAAGTCACTGGATCATGAATTTGTGCTACTATATATGAACTTATTTCAAACTGAAGTTCATGTCATTTCTATTTTAAAATATTATCAGGCCTCCCCAGTGGTGCAGCGGGTTGAGCATAGCGCTGTGAAGCTGTCTGCAGTCTCTGCAGTATGGGTTCAATTCCCAGCAGGCCAGGAGGATACCCACATGGCGTGGCAGACCTCTCCTGTCTTGTCTACTGCTCCCCTCAGTAATGTATTTCAGTCAGTCTGCCTGTTCTGTTCCCTGCTCTGTCTCTGGTGAATCTTCTCACCCTCCCATGCCTCTGGCCTATATCCAAGTTCTTGTATAAATAAATAAATCTTTAAAAATATTATTATTTACACTATATATATGCATTAAAATATTTTCTAGTTAAAAATTAAATACAGCAAATGTCTCTCAAGGCCATTGTAAAGCTGCACTGACAAATATGATTTTCTGCTGTTAGTAAATATTCATCAATACATTTTACATGAACACATAATTGATTATTAAAAAATAACCTTTACAGCTTCAAAAAATTAATGAGCATATAGGATTAATCTTAAATCTTGCATTCCATTTTAACATAGAAATGTTTGACCTAATGTAAGGCTTTGATTTTAAAAACAGACAAGAATAATATAGGCAGCGATATTAAGTAGCATAAAATGAGTTAAAATTAGTAATTGTTTCAGCTGTCTGTTTCTTGTGCTTTGTGAACACATCACTTTCTCTTTCTCAAATGGAAGTCCCATGTGACTCAACAACACCACTATTAAGGATATATCCAAATAACATGAAAAATTTAACATGAAATGATCTTTCTGCACCTACGTATGCAGTAGCACTATTTACAATTGCCAAATCATGGAACCCAAGTGCCCGTCAACAGATGAATGGATAGAAAAACTGTGGAACATATATTCAATGGAATATTACACAACTGTGAAGAAAGATGAAATGGTGCCATTTGGCACAAAATGGATGGAACTTGAGGTGATTATTTGGATGGCTTCACTCATCTGAAGAATATAAATATTCAAAGAACAATTACATGCAAGCAATGAAGAAATAAAAATCTAGACTCAGAAAAAGAAGATATTTACCAGAGGGAATAACGGAAATGGTGGAGAAGTTTGGGGAAGGAGGTAGATGGGGTATGGGGATGGATTGTTTGGTGGAGGCTAAAAAAAAAGAGAGAAAAAAGTACTTAACTCTTTCTCTTTAATGGAGACTTTAAATACAGAAGAGAAGATAGTAATGCCTATAAAGGGATCAATACAGATTATTTATTTTTCCTTCAAATGTAATAACTGTGCATTGAAAAATCATGTGTGAGTCTAAATCTAACTTCTCTAGTGCTAAGTCATCAAGTAAAGTTCAGATTCATTAGAACCTTCCAGTCTTATGCTGGGTTATGGTATGACAAAAAAAGCATAGAAAGAGAAACAAAATGGGTCATATTTTGAAGGTCAAATTGGTCAGGAAGACCGATTCTCCAATATTTTCTATTTTTCATGGGATGTGGGAAGAAGTAAAATATTAAATGGCCATGGATTCTTTAGTGGTATATAAACTGAGTGAGAGATGTACTCACAGTTTTTCATAAGCTGGACTTATCTGTGTGTTCTTTGCTAGTTCAAAGGTCAAAATTTTCTTGAATGTACCACATCTTCTTGATCCAGTCATCTATTTTTGGGCATTTGAGTTGTTTCCAAAGCTTAGCTATTGTAAATAGTGCTGCTATAAACATAGGGGTGCAGGAGCTCTTTGGAATTGATGTTTCTGTGTATTACTCAGCATTCAAAAAAAAGATAAACACATGCAATTTGCAGCAACATGGATGGCGCTGGAAGGGATCATGCTCAGTGAAATAAGCCAGAAAGAAAAAGAAAAATACCGGATTGTCTCACTCATAGCAGGAATCTAGAAAACTTAAATAAGAGACCAGGAAAAAGAATAACTATAAGAAAGTAAAAATCAAAATCAACAAACAACTATGAAACAGAGACACTCAATGGGGAGGTGGGGGGCGGGGAAAGGAGGAATTGGAGTCAAAATAAGGTGGTTGCAATTGTATGGGGAATATAAAAATAAAATTTAAATTTAAAAATAAAATTAAAAATTTTTCTTGAATGTTTTTAAATGTTTTTAAAAACTATTTATTTTTCTCCTTCTACTCTTTCCCCTTTCTACTCAGCAAATATGAAGGTATTTTCTTTACATCCCTGCTCAAGACTATTCCATGGCTTACTGACCCATGAAATTGAGATGGTTTGGAATTAAATCATGCAGTCCCCTGAATGGCATGTTAAGATATATTAAGTTTCCTATGACTGCCATAACAAATTACCACCAATTTAGTGACTTAAAGCACAAAATGTATTATCTTAGAATTAAGGAGTTTCCAAGTCCAAAATGGGTCTCAATGAGTTAAAAATCAAGGTGCCTGCAGGGCTATACTCTTTCCTGGAGGCTCAAATGAACAATCTGCTTTCTTGTCCCTCCCAGCTTCTAGAAACCAACTACATTCCTTTGTTCAAGGGTCCTTCCTCCATCTTTAAAACTAACAACAGTGGATTTGAGTCCTCAATTTACAACACTCTGATCTTGCTTCTATCACCGTTATCTTTTTGACATTACCAGTTCTGCTAGCTTTAAAGACATTGGTTCATCTCAACAATACAGAATAATCTTCTTACTTTCAGGTCATCTCATTAGCAACTTTAATTCCCCCTTGTTAATTAATCTAATGTGCAAGTAAATAGTGAAGTCTAGCTATGAATGACATCCTGAATGAACTTTATCCTGATATTTTTATGTCAGATGGAGGACTACACCCCCATCTGCTCATCCAAGAAAGTTTAGGTGCTGAAGACTACAACTCCTGGCGGGGGCATCTGACTTCCTGAATGGGAGGGTCACTGGGAACTAGGTGTATAGTTAAGCAGCCCAACTTGGCTGAACACATGCAGGCTTTATCTTTCTTGCTTTTTTAGGTTTCAACTGGCAACCAGGTTCTTGAAGGAGACACCTGGTGGAGATAGTTGTAGAGACACGTGGAAGAGATAGATACATGGAGGAGACATGTGGGTGAAACACACACTTTTGGCCCTTAAATTCATGCCCTTTTGCCTTTTCTGTGATATAATACAACACTCCAGCACATGAAGATTGAAAAGTTAAGGTCTGAGTTGTAAATATTGCATTTTGTAGCTCTACACCTGGAAAAATCACTTGACAATTCTAAGACTTGACTGCTCTTTCATCTCCTGTGACCTGAAGCACAGGCACTGCCTGTGTGTGTCCTCTCTGGGAGGACACCTCCCCTGCTGCTGTCAGAGCTCCAGCTCTTAGAAGGTTTATAGCTCTAATCTGTAATGAGGTTTAAGGTAGAAGAGAAGATGGGTAGACAGAGAATTTGAAACTCCTTTTGATAAAAACATAATCAGGAGGGGAAATGAACATAATCAGATTCTACTAAATGCACTGAAAACAAATGGTAGTGTTAAATTTGCAAGTGTTAAGAGATGAAGCAAGGTTTTTGTTGCTGTGATCAGTGGTTTCATTTTAGCATCTAATAGATTATGATAGTAATACACATAATAAACTATACAGAATTACACAAATAGGTAACAATTTCATTTAATCCTTCTAAAATTATCATTCTATGGCAATAGCAGGACTGTAGAATGATGAGGTATAAAATTATACTTTGAAAATGACTTTAGGGCCTCCCCGGTGGCACAGCGGTTGAGCGCTGGGTTGCGAAGCTGCCCGCAGCCTCTGCAGCGCCGGTTCGATCCCCGACCGCCGGGTGAGGGTCCCACATGGAGCACAGACCTCTCCTGCCACCCGCTGCTCCCCTCAGCAGTGTACTTCATCACTTTGCCTGTTCTGCTCTCCGCTCTCCACTCTGGCTCTGGTGAATTCTCTCACCCTCCTGCGCTTCTGACTGTACCCAGTGCTTGTATAAATAAATAAATGAATATTTTTAAAAAAGAAAAAAAAAGAAAGTGACTTTAAAAGTTATACCTGACTCCAGTGAAGTATATTTTGAACAGATGTTCCTGCTGGGTTTTGTGACATATATACATCCAAGCGACTCTGAGGGTTAAAAATAATTGCTTTGTTCAACCAGATCTTTGATGTTTACTAGTACAATCATAATATTTTATATTTATTGAGCTAAATAATTTCAAGAAAATGTAGTTACTTTTCAATAACTAATAAAATAATCAAATTTTATTTACATAAATGTATGTATTAAATGTACAATTTTCACATAAGTCAGAAGCTATTATTGGATTTCTAAATTATGGGGTCCATCACCCTGTACTGGAAACTATTAAAAGCGATGGGACACCCTCACACTCACATCTTTTGAAAACACTATAGAATGCAAGATAAAAAGAAATTACCAGGATAAATGGAAGAGAAAAAAAAAAAACAGGAATCAGTAGTAAAAAGTGAATTACTAAAACCACTTTTCCTTAAAGTTATTTGCTAATCCCATAAAATAAAGTTTCTTTTTGAGAATTTAGCTATTTGAGGAAAGCAAAACTCACCCCAAGGCATGAAAAAGGCAGTTAGAAGACTTAAAAAGAAATCTTCTCTGTGATAAACTGGATGCTATGTTCTAAATATACTACCCAAAGTGAAACTGAATCAGAAGTATCACAGCCTTTGTGTCCATTTGTACTTTAGGTTTGCATTACCTATCTAATGCTTGGGAGCCTCAGTCAATGAAGGCAGTGTTGCTATAATTCTTATCAAAACTTAGCAACTTATTTTAAGTTTATCAACAAACAAGTTGTGCGATTTATATGGAGAGGTTAAAAACTGAGACTAGCCAACACAATATTGAAGGGAAAAAACAAAGTTGAAGGAATGACAGCACACAACTTCAGGACTCACTGAAAAAGTAGTGATCAAGACACTTTTACACTGGCAAAAGACAAGACAAATAGGTCTATGATGCAAATAAGAGAGCCCAGAAATAAGTCTCTATAAATATAGTGAACTTATCTTTGACAAAGGAGCGAAGGCAATGCAATAGAGAAATTATAATCTCTTTATTAATTTGTGCTTGAATAACTGGACACCCATGGACTGAATAAATAAGTAAATAAACAAATAAATAAACAAATCCAGACATCTGACACCTTCACAAACTAAACTCAAACTCATTTTGCAATGTAAAACTCAAAACTATAAAACTTCTAGGTATTCTTTGGCTCCTCTAATTATAACTCTAACTGTGCTTGAAATAAGTTCCCATGTAATATTTATCCTGCATGCCATATTCCAGATGTTCCTTACATTAGGGGCAATACTCTTTACTCTAATGAGGGTCAGAGTCTTACTCAATTCAATATACCTTGTTCAATTAATTCTTCTGGACAAAGAAGATTATAAGTAGCTTTCATGCATGTCCATGAATAATAGGAAATGATTATCAGAGTTTCTACTTCAACTTTATCAGAAAGGAAGGAAGGAATCCATCCTCTAAAGGAACTCAAATCATAATCACATATCCTTGATACTAGTACTTATTTCAGGCACATTTCTCTTTGTAAGTAAACCATTTTTGTAAACCTTCATCAAAGAATCTTAAGACTTGGACACAGTCAAAATTTTGGGTTCTTTGGTAATATGTTTTCCAATTTACATTGGTGAAAATTTTCATCACCGATTCTTCCTGACATTAAAATTTGCTTTCAGGGCATCCCTGGTGGCACAAGGGGTTCAGCACAGCCCGGTGAAGCTGTCCACAGCCTCTGCAGCATGAGTTCCATCCCCAGCCAGCCAGGGAGCAACTCACATGGCACAACAGACCTCTCCTGACTAGCCCACTGCTCCCCTCAATCAGTGTATTTCAGTCAGTCTGCCTATTCTGTTCCCTGCTCTGTCTCCAGTGAATCCTCTCACCCCCCACACCTCTGGCCTGTACCTCAGTTTTTGTATGAACAAATAAATAAATCTTTAAAAAAAAACTTGCTTTCAGATCTCTTATTCAGTTCCCCATGCCCAGGTTAAATGGAATTGATTCCACTTATTGAATCTTTACAAACTACAAGGTTCTCTCTTTTTTTTTTTTTTTTTTCATACTGGCTATAAGACACAATTCCATGGCAAGCTCTGCCTTCCCACTGATATAAAAGGCTCAAGAGTATTGAATCAAACTAAACTATGCCACCAATCACACTTACTATTCCCATACACACTGTGAAAATTTTCCAGTTCGAACTGCTCAGAATCCCAGAGAACATAGAAAATAATCATGTTATAACCTATGACATTGTCAACTTTTGTCCCAGGAGGGATACCCACAGAAAATACAGTGATGGTCAAATATACTTTCTAAAACATAGACTGAATGAATGAAACAAAAAAATATTGTATTTATTTTTCCAGTCATCACATGATAGACATTTAATACTAGATGGTACAATAATATGAGAAAAAGAAAATGGTAAATAGTCAAAAATCATTAGTAGTTACTGAGAAGTTCTTAAAAGTCCCAGGAACCAACTACTAATCCAAATGTCACAGTAGGTTTTGCCAAATTTGGATTAATTTAATGTGCTGAAAAACTTTTTAGAATAAATGCCTATATCTTTAATAGAATTTATATACAATCAATCCAAATGATGTCAGTAGCAGCAGGTTGAACACCAAGATGTTTTTCCATTCGAGCAATTTTGATAAATGTCAAAAGCATGGAAGATATTTGGCAGGCATTAGTTCTAATTATAAAAGGATCAACAGGGAAGGCAGGGAGTTGTGGGAAACAAGAAAATGGAAGAAAAGCTAAATACAAGAAAGTTCAGGAAATTAATACCCAATGGCACAGGCTAACAAAGATATCCAGCACAGCAATTGCTCTCTGTTCTTCATAGATAGCAAGATAAAGGAGGAAGCAAAATCTCAGCAAGGTAATCACCATCACAATATTGATATAGTAATAAAGTCAGAAAGATTAAAAATCTTTCTAGTAGTATACATAGATGAACCATAAAATGATACACAAGCATAAAATAAACACTATTAAAAGTTGCTTTTTAAATCTTTGAAAATGGATATAAAATACAACTTGTTCTCACCATATTTAAGTTCTTTGTGTCATATCCATATATCATAAACAAGAATTCACGGCATAGAACACCAAAAATCTTTAGTGGACACAACTTTGAACCAATGAATCTTTTAGATGAAGTATTAGATAAAAAGTCTTTGTTGCCGGTAAAAGCCTGTAAAATAAATTTACTTTATCCATATTTGGAAGGCCCAAAGAATCAACAAATGATGTGGTAAATTTTCTGTTTTCAATCAAACACATTAACTTACAGTTTAAAACATTTAAATTAAGGATAAATCTTGCAAGGAGAAGATAGATATGATTCAAATGCTAGATTTTCCCTTACCGATGAGGAATCCAAAAGTATCATAGTAAAATCCTATTCCTAGAAACAAAGGATCCAGTATAATCGAAACCAAAAATTCAGTTCATACATGTGGCTGTGCAAACATAGTCAAGACCTTTTTCGTAATTAAAACATGCTGTATTGGGCCTCCTTGATGGCACAAGGGTTAAGTCTCAGCATTATGAAGCTACCTCCAGCCACTGCAGCATGAGTTCAATCCCCGGTCAGGGAGCTAACCCGCACGGCACAGCAGACTTCTCCTGCCCCACTCTCTGCTCTCCTCACTCCTCAGTAGTATATTTCATCAATCTGCCTGTTCTGCTCCCCACTCTGTCTCTGGTGAATCCTCTCACCCCCCCCCCAACACCTCTGGTCTATACCCCAGCTCTTGTATGCATTAATAAATCTTTTTTTAAAAAAGTTGTATTGACCTGCCAGCATTTATTGATTAGTGAAAAAGCAAGGAGATAGCTCCAGGGAAACCTCTCTGGACATGAAAGTGATTCTGTAAGGCCCAGGACTAAGGATGTATAATAGTCTTAAGACTGGGTTTTGAGAACAAAGGAAATAAACTTTATTTGGCTGAGAAAGAAAAAAAAAAAGTTGTATTGAAGTAGCATTGCACTGTAATGTTATATAGGTTTTTAGGTATGCATCATTATAAATCATACTTTATGTTCACCACTATAAGTTCAACTCCATTTTTAACCATACAATTAAATGCATTTACCTGATTTACCACCCCCTTTCTACCTTTCCTTCCAGTAAGTATTAATACTTTCTGAGGCTTAGAATCATTGTTGTTTTGGGTTATCAACCACACAGAATAATGGAATAACATACCTTGAACACTGACTGCAACTTGTATGCCATTTTAACTAAAGGGCTTTTTAAGTATTTAATGGAAAAAACTGGTGCTAAGGCAAAAAATATTTTGATTCTTTCAGCTATCTTTGGCATGGTGGAAAATGTTATAAAAGCTGAAAGAAAGAAAGAAAAGAATTAACTATTTTTAAGCAATTACCAGCATATAAGAGATGACACCATGGCTAATAAATGTTCAATAGATTCTGAACAATTACTGTACTTATTTCTTAATTCACTTATCGAACATTTATTGATTACCCAGGATGAGATATGCATATTGATAACAACATAATGCCGATTATTAAGATTAAAAATAAATCTATAGACTATAAATGATTATAATATAGCAATAAATTAGCTTTATAACATCATGGTTTAAAAATAAGAAGCAATATCAAATATTTGTTTATCTGGTAATGAGGTGAGAGATTCAATATACTCAAATTGATTTAATATTTACTATGAATATATTTTAAAACTTCTTTGCCTTCTTTTACTTAGGAAACTAAATATTAGTTTATATATTTTTAGTAGATTAGAGTCATTAATATAACAAATGGTAGTTTTTCCTTTTTTGACATCAAGCCATCAACTTACATATCTTCTCATTTTTATTGATTGTTTTTATCCCCCTGAGTTCTGACAAGTCAAGTAACCAAAGAAATATATATCATATAACATATTATAGGCTGATAAACTCTGGCATGTCATCCATTTTTTCATTATTTAATAAGTGTTAGGAATTCCTGACTCCTGATAATTGAATGGCTAATGAGAACCTGGACTCAAAGTCACACTCACAGTTAATAAAGATCAGAAAAAATATCCATAAAAAATGTGATTAGATTGTTATCCAACATACTTTTTCTAGTAGGAAGTGGATTATTCCTATGAGAAAATCCCACATTTTTATTTCTTCAGCCTAGAAAATAATACTCTATACTCTATATATTTAATATGGGCTTCTATTATAAAATGGATTTTTTTACCTTCAAAGTAGAAATAATGCAAGGAATAGGTCTATAATACTGTGTAAGAGAATTATATTGGGTCTTAGGGATTTTTTTTTCTGAAATTAGAGTTGTTATACATTAGGTAATGTTGTGAGATGAAAGTTCTTTCCTTGTCATTTTCACACAGTGCAGAGTACTAACCACTACATGATCATGGCCTTTTCTAGTCATTTTCAGAAATGGAAAGGCTTTTCTCATCTTTGTGCATTTATTAAATTTAATGTGTCCTAAATACAAAAACACAGTCTTTTCAAGTCTCTTGGTCACAAAACCCTGGGCTATATTTTTAAAAATTTATTAAAGTTCTATTTGCAGAACAAATAATAGTTATGATCTCACTTTGATCTTAATGTATATATCCAACTTTGATACATCAGAAACAAACAAAATGACAGACAACTTTGCTTGTATAACCAATTTGTTGTGACTAAAGAAGACTTGGGAATGTCAGCAGGGTGTTAGCTCCTGGGCATTGCTAGCCTATGCTTATATCACAGTTCTATTTTGTTTCATTTGTAAGTCTATAAACTTACCTATAGCTTAATAAATAAATCTACAATCTTTAAAAAAGTAATTAAAGAATATTAATAGTGATCTCTCTTAGCATACCAATAGTAGTGCCCTGTGAATGTCCTACATAAAAAATTTCTTTTTGTCCAGTTCGGTTTATAATGAAATCAATGAAGGCTGGAAGGTCATATTTAGCCATTTCATCAAAACTAAAAAGAAAAGGGGAAATAAAAATTTATTTTATACTGATATTATATTAACATTTGAAGATAGTAAATGAATAAAGGCTATTTCAACCCTCTTTTGAGTATTATCAAAACACAACAAAAAAGTGTTCAATACATTTATAAAATAAAATGAAACATTATATGGCTTTATTTGTACCTGAATGCCCAGAATTCTTTGGAATTTGTTTCTAGGTATATGTGTTTCCTGGACCAGGTAGTCCCTCTGCTGTTCCCTATCCACACATCATAACCAGCATCTGCCAGAAGGAAGCCCAGACTGTTGTTAGGTAGATTGGAAATCCAGCTGCTGGCAGATGTAAACAAGCCATGTTGCAAGTATACAACAAACCTCTGAGCTGGGAAAAAAATACAGATAATCACTATTTAAATCATGTATTGTCTACATGAAAATCTCATCTGAATTTCAGTCTTTCGCTATATGCCAATTTAAAGGTTTATTTAAAAAACTGTATACATAGGTTGAGTTACTAATGTTTAACCCCACTGATGTCAGAATTGTTTAATGCAGTTCACTAATGGACTTCTTTCAAATGACCAAGTGGACAATTTGGTCAAGTCTCATTTAAATATATAAACTTTTGGGCCTTACTGGTGGCCAAGAGGTTAAGTCTCAGCACTATGAAACTATCAGCAACCACACGGCATGAGTTCGATCCCCAGTCATGGAGATGTCCCACATGGCACAGCAGACCTCTCCTGACTTGCCACCTACTCCCCTCAGCAGTGTATTTCAGTCAGTCCACCCTTCTGCTCTCCACTCTGTCTCTGGTGAATCCTCTCACCCCACATACCTCTGGCCTACACCCCAGTTATTGTGTGCATAAATAAATAAATCTTTAAAGATAATTATATAAACTTTTAAAGATTTGGAATATTCAGATAGGCAATGTGATTTGGACATTCATGAATTTTAAACAACATACTACATGAAACATTATAGGATTTTCCCAGCTTTTATTTCATTAGATAATTTTACAATGACATTTTTCACTGACATTTATTATCAGTATTATCATTAGAACCACTGTTTTAGTCACCTAACAGAGTTCCCAGAGTCCTAATGTATACTTCCAAAGTTTTTGAGTTATAATGTAAGGGTAATAACTTTTGGATAATGTAAGCTATGTTTATAAGTGACTTTAAGGCCTGAATTGCCAGTCACACATTATACTCTACAACAGTGATTCTACTGGTGTTCTGCATAGATCCTACTATTATAATTAGGCTGATGATCCTAATCTCCAGATGTTGTGTTAGCTGCCAACTATACACAGGTCTCAGGAGAAAGCACTTGGTAATCTTGGCCAAATGGGAGCTCCACACTGGGGAAGGAGACAACTTATACCTGAACCATCTAGCACAAAGGTAGGGTTGAAGCTAGACTCCAGCGCAGACCACCTCCTTGCTCTACTCCTTTCTCTGCTCTCCTGCTTTCTCCATTACCTTTTTCCTGAGGTTCTCTCAGTAAATCCCTGTTACAGGCTCTGCTTCTACAGAACTGATCTAAGAGTTACTACTAAAAGTGGTCAAGGAAGCTGACAATTAAGGATGGGATGATGAAGATGCATTACTTGCTGGCTGGCTGGCTGTAGATGGTAAGTAGAATACTGAAAGAGCCTAGTATGTTGTAGCATTTCAATGACTTAAAATATTCCTGTGACAATACAGTAAATTACTGTTCTGGCTTGTACAATGTGTCTGACAGTTAAAAGGCACAGGGGAAATATAATTATGAGATCTAAGGAACAGGGTAGCTATTGCTGAGTGTTTGACGGTGTTTTGAAGAGAGAAGATAACAGGGCTCAGAGCAATCAACCATCAATGAAAGCAAAATGAAAAATCATAAGACCTCTTTGAAGGCCTCTAAACACCCTCATTTCCTAGAGTTAGAGGGCAAACTGAGGTAAAAGTTATGGCTGGGATTCAATTGTAAGAATGGTCAAACTTAGGCCTCCCTGGTGGTCTACGAATTAAGTGTTAGTGCTCCCACTTTGAGGGCCTGAGTTCCATCCCTGGCCAGGGAACTAACACATGTGGCACAGCAGACCTTTCCTGTCTTGCCTGCTGCTCTCCTCAGGGTGTATTTTGGTAGATCTGCCTGTTCTGCTTGCCACTCTATCTCTGGTGAATATTCTCACCCGTTACCCCTGTACCTCTGGCCTACACCCCAGTTCTTCTAAGCAAAAATAAATAAATCTTTAAATTTCAGGTAGTTTGAATTCTCTGTGTAAGGAAGATCTCATGTCATATGAGTCTTAATAAAGCTGTAGGACCCTGAGACTTGAGGTAAGGACATCTTGGTAGAAAAACTTCATAAACTTGAAAGCTAGATTTCCCTAAACTCACTGGAAATAAAAACATGACCCACTCTCTTCTTTGTTAGAAGATAATAACTCTCTGTCAGAGATACCTTGCAGATCAGGACTTTCCTGCCACAAGATTCACCCCAATCCTTTCCTGGATACTCAGTGACTATGGTTAAATTCTAGCATGACTTACTGAAGAATATTGGATCTGCTTAGGGAAAAGAAGAGATTATATCCTACAGGAGCTACAAAATCTGGTAATACGTATGCAACAGAACTGGGAGTGCATGTCTCTGGAATGGATCCTGAAGCTTTTGGATTAAAGGGGGACATGTGCACACATATATAGACCTGGATAAGAGAAAACCCATTCATATAAAATCACATTCCTATGACAAAGAATTCAACACACTGGCAATAGTTTCAGAGGTCAGTTCTGACATTCAGCTGTTTATTTCTTGGAAGATTAGAAAAGTCCAGAATTATAATCACATTGTGTAGAAACTGATAAAAGCATTTACATATAGGCATGCTAACCCTATTAAATAAAACCAGAATATCCACCAGCTGACAAATGTGCCTTTGGAGGGCTTGGGGGATATTCCATTTACCAGCAGAATTTAAAAGCTGGGAAATGCAGAACTTCTGTTGCCATTTTGGCATATATAGAATACTAGAAGTATCATGGACTCAAAAAAGGGGGCCGAGACATGGGCCTCCCTCACCAAGGCAGCTTTTTCTACTCCAGTAAGAGTTCTCACATGGTACCACCCCTCAAGTAAGCCAAACCAGACACTTGGAGACAAGTTAGATATATTAGAACTTCTTTCCCTAGAAAGGGTAACAATTCCTTATGAGTAGGATTGATTGATTCATTTCTGCTAAGATTTACTTTTCCTTCCCACAGGACCACAGCCAGCACCTCTACTCAAGAGTTTTCAGAGTACCACCATTGTCTTCCTCATAGCATGATGTTAAATTAAGGGATTCACTTCATATCAAAGAAGGTGCATCCATTGGTATAGGGCCTTATTATCCATGTTCTATCACATAATTACATCAAAAAAATGCAGGATGAAATAATTTGATTATTGAGAGCAATGAAATAACAACTTGAAGCCTCAGTGATAATGTTATCTGGAAAATGATATCTTGGAAATACAAATGTTTTCCTTTGAATTTTTTTACACACGTTAAACAAAAGAGCATAATATAGTGCTAGAATGCAGGCTCCTTTCTAACAAGAAGGCCTATGTCTAGGCCTCCTTTTTTGAGTCCATTGCACAAGCACTGGGATGGTTAAAAATAGTATCTGGCTGACATCTATTAGTTGAGTCATCCTATTGGTTATAATTCTAGAATGCAAGCTCCTTTCTAACACGGAGCTAAGTTAGAAAGAAAAGGGAGATAGGATTAAGTGTGTTTCCACTATCACTCCCAGTAACTCATTGAGGGATTTATACTTTCCATTCTCACAATTTTAGTTTCCATAGATCTAAAGGCACTTGTTTATAAAGAGAAAATGCTTCTACCAGGGCACACAGTAAGCATCCCCATCAACTTAAAGTTGACTTGTCACTTTGGGCTCCTCATGTTGGAAGACTGGGAAACAAAGAAATTCATTATTATACTGGCAGGAATAACTGACCCAGATCATCATACAAAGATAGGGCTACTGACACATAATGAAGACAGAGATTTAAAAATTATATTTAATATATTTGGTATTCATGTGATGTCCTGGAGCATTTTTTTGTTTCTTTGATGCCCTGTTTTAATTTTAAATGTACAAGAAACAGTATCTATGACCTGCCACAGCTATAGTAGCTCTTAGGGATGAAAAACGAGGGTTGAATGATAGTAGCTCTTAAGGCTGAGGCTTACAACACAAGGAGCTAAGTTAGAAGGAGGGGATCTACAATGGATGGTAGAGAAATTTTAAGTATCAGTTATGACATGGAGCAGCTGCAATAGCATATGTAGTAATTTACACATACTAACCTTCTTCTCCTAAGTTTCCCCATGTATTCCAGCAATTGAAGGAAATTCTGACCTACCAGAATCCTGAAAAAGTTGTACCTGATTGAAATAAATTTAATGTGAAAAATAAGGGGTTTGAGTAGTACAAAGGGCACAGTCTATTGGATTATTTTGGTGTGCCCCACCCAGATTTCCTTTACTAAGTATATTTCCAGCTGTTTTCCAAGAGAGTTCATTATTGCCTCTTTCTCTATAAAATTACCTCCAACCAAATGGGAATTGCCTCTTCCATGAGATTATTCTACTTTCAAAGATTAGTGTTCAGTCAATGAATAAGTGATGATAATTACGATCCAAAAAGCTAGCTCCCTACCTTCAAGGTATGATTCATGGATTTATGAGTGTTGTGTGATTCATGGATTTATGAGCTAGACTAGTTGAGTCCCATCCTTCCTTCGATCCTTTCCCTCCCTATCTTAATTTCCACTTTATTTTTTCCAGCTAGCAGTCGACAATAAATTCTTATCTCAGGTCTGCTTCTAGAGAACTCTAAGTCACTTGTATTTCAAAATTATCTTGAAATCTTTTATTACAGTATTTGAAAAATCAGGTCATACCCTGAGGAATCATTACTATAATGATTTAAAATCTATGTTAACATTTTCTACCTAGTAGATATGACCTTTGTAAGGATCTGAAATTATATTCATTGAGGTTGTTTCAAATTCATGTTTTTTCTCTGAATGTGCTTTAATGTTCAAAGTAAGAACTTGTGAGAGAATATTATGAGAAATATTCTTTTCAGAGAAAAAAATCTAAGGAGAAAAGAAAAAAAAAAAAACCTGACATTTTGTGAGCAATTAGACAAATAAGCAAAAATAATCAGTTACATAATCAGTTTATGGTAACTGGCACAGCTAAGATGACAAGCCAGTCACAAAGTCAAGCCCATGGAATGATGTTATTGTGTTTCAGAGATTCTAGACAATTGACATGGCTAAGCAAAGTGATACACAGAGAAATCCTGGAAGGAACAGCATATGTTCCACCACACTTATTTTTTTTAAAGGTTTATTTATTTATGCATATAAGAACTGGGTACAGGCCAGAGGTGTGGGGGTGAGAGGATTCACCAGATACAGAGTGGGGAACAGAACAGGTGGACTGGCTGAAATACACTGCTGAGGGGAGCAGTATGAGAGTCAGGAGAGGTCTGCTGCACCACGTGGGTAGCTTCCTAGCCTGTGGGGATGGGTGGGGGGTGTATCGAACTGGTGCTGCAGAGGCTATAGCTTCAAAGTGCTGTGCTTAACCCCTTACATCACCAGGGAGGCCACGTTAATAACACTCCATGAACAGGAAGCTAATGGAATATCATTCTCTTCTTGAGCATGTGGGCAGGTATATAAGAAGTTAACTCTTGCTTTCCAAAGCCTTTTCTTATTCTACACTCATTGAGAAGAAATGTAAGAGCTAGGAACTTCAAGACCCAGGGAGTAATCAATTTATATGAAGTTGAATATTACCTGTATTGTTAAAACTTTTCGTCTTCCCATAAGGAATTCTGTAAAGGCCAAGGATATAGCCATCTTTAGTTATGACATCATACTTTTCATCTGGGTAGCCCCAGTAGGAAATAATTTCACTCTACATAAAGAAAAACACACATATTTTAGAGAAAGTTTGCTAGTCAATTAAGCTGAGTTACCTGCCATTTCTAACGTATTATGTAAAAATGAACATTTTGTATTCTCCCTAAATCTCAGGGCTTTTTTTTTTTTATTGTTACTAATTCGCTGTTAGAGACTAATCTTCATGAAAGGGGGAGGTTCTGGGTTCCCTGCCCCACCTGAGGAGGAGCAGAGCCGAGTGGCCAGGTGGAAATATAGAACACTTGGAGGACAGACAGAGGAGACAATGGAGGAGAATTGGAGGAGGCATGTGGAGCAGAGACATGTGAAAAAGTTGTGCTTGCTTCTCAGCTTTGTATGGGCACCAGGTCCTTGGAGGACATGGAAGGAAACTCATGTGTCAAAACAAGCGTCTCTACACTTGGAAGAGACTTGGGTGAGAGACCAATGGCAACCTTTACCTTGATTTGTACTCTGATTTTGTTTTTCATTCTAGACTTGTCTGGCCCCTTCTACCCTTTTCCGATGGTTTCCTGCCAGGTGCCTTAAACTTGTGGCAAGTTTTCAGGCCTCAGTGGCCCTGCTTTAGGCCAAGACTGTTGGGCTGGGCACTTACCCACAAGGGGATGAATAACATTGGATGTTTTATTAGAAAATTATTACCCTTTCTTCTCTTCTCTCTCTATGCACACTATTGTATTAAAGTTCTTTCATGCTAATAGTATGCTTTGTCTTTATGTGGCAGATGGCAGAATCTCTTTAGAGTGTGCAAGTTTGGGGTTACTAGGACACCCTTCATTCTGCATATTAATACTACTAAGCATCATTCTTAGACACTAAGATTCATGGATAAAGAAAACAAAAATTAAGACCTCAGTCTTCAAGAAGATATCTCAAATACTAATCTATTACTGCTACTACTAATCACTATACCTTTATCTATTCACCTATATGTTTTTTAAATATGAAAATACATGTGTATTTCATAAATTCTTACTTGTCTATGCATATAGCTAAACTTATATCTAAAATTTGTATATATAAGCATATAGAAGAGAAAATTTATAAGTAATCTATTATTGTGTGATATATAGCAAGTTAATACTTAAGGTAATCCATAGGTTCCTGGACTGTGACTTTAAACAAAATGACATATAATTAAAGCAGAATAAAATGTTTTATTCAATGAAAAAAGTCATCAGCTTTTTCATCAGCGTTAGAAAATGACATTGACTGAAACAACTTTATCTGAGACCTGCTCTAGTCATATATATTTTCATCACAGAGATAGAATAAGACTGAAGGGCAAACTGTGAGCTATAAAATAGTAGTTAGGGAAAATTAGTTAACCTATATCAAAATATATGAATACAGGAAAATATATTTGACTGTAGATCAAATTTGAAATTGAAGAGTAGCATTAGCATTTTCTGTTATTTCTGCAGCTTAGCACTTACTTCCTAGAAACTTACAATATTCATATTTGCTTCAGGATTCACAGATCTTCCATGTTGAAAAGTACCATGAGTTCCAAGAATTTGAATAAAGGATATCACCATGAAAAAGTACCACATTTGGGATCTATATATAAAAGGGAGATTTTAACACTATTAAAATTGCCAAAGTAATACCATTTGAATGTTTTTTTTTTTTGTTTTTGTTTCTGTTTTTTGTGGGACCCTCGCCGGCGGCTGGGAACGAACTGGCGCTGCAGAGGCTGCGGGCAGCCTGGCAGCCCAGCGCTCAACCACTACGCCACCAGGGGAGGCCCCCATTTGCATGTTTAAATGACTCTGTGAAGTGGGGAATATTGTCTAAGGATAATATTATCCAAGGATGATAATATAAAATTGGCAGGTGTGATTCAGATTCAGGCCTACTTCATTCCAAAGTTCATACTTTCCAACTAACCTATTTTATAGCCCACACACCATCTTTGAAAAATCCGTTATGTATTCCTTAGTACAATTCTGAGAGCTCGATCAGCTATTGCAATTTAATTGATAGCTGAACAAATGATGGAATAATAGTCCTACCATATTAACATTTATTTTAAGTATTTTAAAGGTCATTGGGATTAGGGAAAGGAAGGGAGACAGCTGGGAAGATTAGAAAGCTTGAATAACAATTTTCTTCTGGCCTCTTAGGGTCCAAACTTTATTTCGTTTACAGAAATGTGAGTTCTCAGTACTCTAAATTCTAAAACATCAGGCCAATAAAAAGATTAAAAATAGGGCCTCCCCGGTGGTGCAGCGGTTGAGCGCTGGGTTGCGAAGCTGCCCACGGCCTCTGCAGCGCCAGTTCGATCCCCGGCTGCTCCCCGGCCACCAGGGGAGGGTCCCACATGGCGCGCAGACCTCTCCTGCCGCCCGCTGCTCCCCTCAGCAGTGTACTTCGGTCCTTCTGCCTGCTCTGCTCCCCGCTCTGGCTCTGGTGAATTCTCTCACCCTCCCGCGCTTCTGACTGTACCCAGTGCATATATAAATAAACAAAAAAAAAAATTAAAAATAATACAGCATTCTAATACCAATCAAATCTATATTAATATCAAGCAGCATAGATTTTAGAAGAAAAAAAATATAACAAGAAGAAACAGTACCATTGCATAATAATATAGTGGTCAATTCACAAGAGTTTATCAATCTATTAACAAATGTTCATGTACCTAATAACTGAGATTCAAAGCACAATAAGCAAAAAGTGATAGAGCCGTAAGAGGGAATATATAAATCTCCAATTACACTTCTGACCATGAAGGCATCAAAATAGAAATAAACCATAAAAAGAAGGCAAGGAACTTTCCTACCTCATGGAGATTAAAAACCACACTACTGGAAGACCACTGGACTAATGAGGAGATCAAAGAAGAAATTAAAAAATTCTTCAAATTGAATGACAAGGAGGACACCAATATCCTAAATGTATGGGATGCAGCAAAAGCAGTAATAAGAGGAAAATACATAGCAATAGAAGCTCACATCAAGAAACAAGAAAGAACTCAAAGAAACAACTTAATCTCGAAGCTCAAAGATCTAGAAAAAGAACAACAAAAAAACCCAAAACCAGTAGAAGAAAAGAAATAATAAAAACCAAAGCAGAAATAAATGAAATTGAAACTAAAAAAACAATCCAAAAGATCAATGAAACCAAGAGCTGGTTCTTTGAAAAAATCAATAAAATAGACAAACCCCTAGCCAGGCTCACAAAGGAAAAAAGGGAGAAAGCACAAATAAACAGGATCATCAATGAAAGAGGAGAAATCACAACGGACACAGCAGAAATCAAAAGAATAATCAGTAACTACTATGAACAGTTATATGGAAACAAGTTCAACAATCTAGAGGAGATGGACAAATTCCTACAACTCTACAATCACCCAAAGCTAGATAAAGAAGAAATAGAACACCTAAACAGACCAATTACAAGCAGCGAAATTGAAATGGTAATCAAAAACCTCCCCAAAAACTAAAGCCCAGGACCTGATGAATTTACAAATGAATTCTACCAAAGATTCAGAGACGAATTAGTGCCTATCCTTCACAAACTCTTCCAAAAAATTGAGAAGGAAGGGACAATACCAAACACGTTCTATGAAGCCAACATTACACTAATACCAAAACCGAACAAGGACAACACAAAAAAAGGAAAACTACAGGCCAATCTCCCTAATGAACACTGATGCAAAAATCCTCAATAAAATTTTAGCTATCAGAATCCACCAATGTATCCATAAGATAATTCACCACGACCAAGTAGGATTCATTCCAGGGACACAAGGATGGTTTAACATCCGAAAATCAATCAACGTTATCCAACACATCAACAAAAAGAAATATAAAAACCATATGATAATATCAATAGATGCTGAGAAAGCTTTCGACAAAGTGCAACACCCATTCATGATAAAAGCCCTTGAAATTCTTGGGATACAAGGAACATACCTCAACATCATAAAGGCCATCTATGACAAGCCAACAGCCAGTATCATTCTCAATGGTGAAAAGCTGAAGGCAATTCCATTAAGATCTGGAACAAGACAAGGATGTCCACTCTCACCACTGCTTTTCAATATAATACTGGAAGTCCTAGCCAGAGCAATAAGACAAGAGAAAGACATCCAAGGAATCCAAATAGGAAAAGAAGAAGTCAAACTATCACTATTTGCAGATGATATGATAATATACGTAGAGAACCCCAAAAACTCCACAGAAAAACTAATTCAACTAATCAATCAGTTCAGTAAAGTGGCAGGATACAAAATCAACACGCAAAAGTCAGTAGCCTTCCTATACACAAACAATAAATCTGAAGAAGAAGAAATCAAAAAAACCATCCCTTTTATTATTGAAACAAAAAAAATCAAATATTTGGGAATAAATCTAACAAAAGAGGTAAAGGACCTATACAAAGAAAACTATAAGACACTGTTAAAAGAAATAGAAGAAGACACAAAGAAATGGAAAGACATCCCCTGCTCATGGATTGGAAGAATAAACATTATTAAAATGGCCATCCTACCAAAAGCAATATACAGATTCAATGCTATTCCAATCAAAATTTCAATGGCATTCTTCAAAGAAATAGAACAATTATTGATGAAATTCATATGGAATCACAAAAAACCCCGAATAGCCAAAGCTCTCCTGAAAAAAAAAGAAGGCAATGGAGGCATCACATTCCCAGATTTCAAACTCTACTACAAAGCCATAATCATCAAAACTGCATGGTATTGGAACAAGAACAGACATACAGACCAATGGAATCAAATAGAAAATCCAGAAATAAACCCACAGATTTATGGTCAACTAATCTTTGACAAAGGAGCAAAGATTATGCATTGGAGCAAAGAAAGTTTATTCAATAAATGGTGCTGGGAAAACTGGGTCGCTACATGCAAAAGAATGAAGCTTGACCACTACCTCACACCATACACAAAAATCAACTCAAAATGGATTAAAGAACTAGACATAAGACTTGAAACCATAAAATACATAGAAGTAAATATAGGCAAAGCACTACGTGATATTCACATCAAAGACATCTTTACAGACACATCACCCAAAGCAGTGATAGTGAAGGCAAAGATAAACAGCTGGGACTACATCAAATTAAAGAGCTTCTGCACAGCAAAAGAGACAGTAACAAAAACAAAGAGAAACCTCACCAACTGGGAGAACATTTTTGCACACAACACTAATGATAAAGGACTGATCACAAAAATCTGCAAAGAGCTGATGAGACTCAACACAAACAAAGAAAATAATCCAGTCCAAAAATGGGCAGAAGAGCTAAAAAGAAACTTCTCTGAAGAGGAAATGCAAATGGCCAACAGGCATATGAAAAAATGTTCAACATCACCTGTAACCAGGGAAATGCAAATCAAAACTACCATGAGATACCATCTTACACCAGTGAGAATGGCACATATTAAAAAAAACTAGCAACAACAAATGTTGGCGAGGTTGTGGAGAAAAAGGAACTCTCCTGCACTGTTGGTGGGAGTGCAAACTGGTCCAACCACTATGGAGAGCTGTGTGGAGATTTCTGGATCTACTAAACATAGAGCTTCCATATGATCCAGCAATTCCACTCCTAGGTATTTACCCAAAGGACACAGAAACATCAATTCCAAAGAACACCTGCACCCCTATGTTTATAGCAGCACTGTTTACAATAGCTAAGCTTTGGAAACAGCCCAAATGCCCAAAAATAGATGACTGGATCAAGAAGATGTGGTACATATACACCATGGAATATTACTCAGCATTCAAAAAAGATAAACACATGCAATTTGCAGCAACATGGATGGCGCTGGAAGGGATCATGCTCAGCGAAATAAGCCAGAAAGAAAAAGAAAAATACCGAATGGTCTCACTCATAGCAGGAATCTAGAAAACTTAAATAAGGGACCAGGAAAATGAATAACTAGAAGAACGTGAAAATCAAAATCAACAAAAAACTATGAACCAGAGACACTTTTGGGGGGTGGGGGGTGGGAGGGGAGGGATTGGGGTCAAAATGGGGAGGTTGCAATTGTATGGGGAATATAAAAATAAAATTTATTATTTAAAAAAAATAAAAAATCCTACATGCACAAGATTTGTTATCAAAAAAAAAAATCTCCAATTACAGCTGGAGATATTAACATACAATCGATAAAGCACACACACAGAAAATCAGTTAAAAAATAGAAAACTTGAGAAATACGACCCCAAAGTCCCAAAGGTTATTTTTGTAGAATTAACAACCTATTTTCAAATATGATGTGGAAATGATAAGAACCTAGAAAAGTCAAATATAATTTTGAAAAAGAACATTATTGGAATCCTTACAAAACCTGACTTAAAGACTTATTTATTATAAAACAAAAGTATAATGTGGTACTGGCATTAACAAGATTTATTCGGTAACCAGATGAGGATAGTGTTCAGAATAAATCAACTGATCGACTGATTCTCAATGAAGATGCAGAGGCAATTCAGTTCAAAACAAAAGGTTTGGAAATAATTAGATATACATATGAAAAAACATGAACTTTGATCCATCCATCTACAGTACCAAATAAAAATATTAACTAAAAATGTACCATAGACATAATTTTAAAACCTAATACCACCATAAAAATTCCTTAAGAAAACATAAGTGATAACCATTGTGACTTTGTCTTAACAAATATTTCTTAAATATAACATGAAAAATAGAAACTATGTGAGAGAAATCAATAAATTAACAACGTCTGTACCTTGAACAATGTTTTTAACAAAAAATGATAAGTCAAAGATTGGTAGAAAATATTTGCAAGTCATACCGAGTTCAAAAGTGACATAATATAGTTAAAAAATACCTAGACATGAATGAAAATAAAGACTTGAGCTACCGGAGCCTCTGGGATACAGTAAACGCTGTACTAAGATGGAAGCACACAGCAATATAGGCTCAGATCAAGAAATAAGAAACTCAAATAATAATCTAACTTTTCACCTTAAGGAGCTAGAAAAAGGAAGAAACAAAACCAAAAGTCAGAAGAAGGAAGAAAATAATAAAAATTTAAGTGGAAATAAACAATGTAATAACCAAAAAGACAGTTCAAAAGATCAATGAAATCAAAAGCGGGCTCTTCAAAAATTGATTAAATAGGCAAACCTTTAGCTAAGCTCACAAAGGAAAAAAGGGGTGAAAATTCTTAACAAATAGAATCAGAAATGACAGAGAAGTTACAACAGATATCCAAGAAATACAGAGGATTATAAGAGAAACAATGAACATATGGATGCTAATAAATGGGCTAACCCAGAAGAAATGGACAAATTATTATAAGCATGCAACCCTGTAAGACTGAACCATGAAGAAATAGAAAACCTAAATAGATCTTTACCAAACAAGGAAATTGAAATAGCATTCAACTTCCCAAGTATCAAAGCCCAGAACCAGATGGTTTCAGTAGTTCTACCAAAGACAAAGAACCAAGTCCTTTCAAAGACAAACTGATACCTATCCTTCTTAAACTCTTCCTATAATTTGATGAAGAGGAAATTCTTTCAAACTCATTTTGTCAGGCGTACATAATTCTGATACCAAAAGTAGACAACGACATCACAGAAAAGAAAACTACAAACTAATATCCTGATGAACATAGATGCAAAAATCTTTAACAAAATCTCAGCAAACTAAATTTAGCAGTACCTTAAAAAGACCATATATCATGACCAAATGGGAATTATTTCAAGGATATCCACAAATTGATCAATTTAATTCACCACCTTAGCAAGAGGAAAAACTAATAATATTAATAGAAAGTATTAGATAAGATTCATCACTGATTTATGATGAAAATCCTCCAAAAATGGGGATAAATGAAATATGCATTGACATAATAAAGGTCATTATTTGCAGATGACAATATACATAGAAAACACTAAAGATTACACTAAGAAACTAATTGAAATAATCAGTACAGTCAAGTGGTCTGCTACAAAATCAATACACAAAAATTTGTTGTGTTCCCATATGCAAATAATGAAGTGGAAAACAAAGAAATCAGGAAAACTATTCCATTTACTGTTGTATCATAAAGAATTAAATACCTAAGAATAAACTTATCACAGGAGGGTGAAGGATGTCTACGATGAAATTGTTAAGGGAAATAAAAGATGACACAAAGAAATGGAAAGATATTCTCTATTCGTGATTTGGAAGAATTAACATTGTTAAAATGGTCATTTTATGAAGCAATATGCAGATTTAATACAATCCCTGTCAAAATTTCAATGACATGCTTTAAAGAAATTTAAAAAAAAAATTACTGAAATTTATATTGAATCACAAAAAACCTGAAAGAGCAGAAGCAATCCTGACAAAAGAGAACAGAGGTCTAAGGCTCCAAATTTCTCAAATATGTTCTTTCAGTTAAGTCCAAATCTACCTTTTTGTAGTTTTTACCAATTGATTTGAATCTACTGAAAAGGTCTAATTATTTTTCTCCCTTATGTACAAATAACCTTCCCTATAGCTAAAAAGTCTTTAAGATATCTAAAGACCCCTTTATGTTCCCTCCAAGTCTAGGCTACAGATTTCTACACACTTTACCTGGTCAGTTAAGGTAATTTCAAGGCTGTCAAGTTGGTCACTTTTCATGGGAATGGCACCAGTTTCTGAATGATCCTTCTAAAATCTGGGATCCAGTAGTGAACATGAGACTTTCATTTTTAAAACTGTATCATATAAAAAAGTGCTCTCTGGGAAAGAATATTGAAATAACCCAATTGAATTACTACTCAGTCTTTTACTTGAAGAATTATCCTCAAAGGACTTCCATACCTTATGGGCAAATAATCAGTGAATCCTCAGTCTCTGAGAATTCTAACTTTGATTCTAGTTGCCAGTGATACTGTATTCAATATGACAATGTTTCTGCTCTCTTGGGGCTTAAATTCCAAGAGAAGACAAAAATGAAAATAAGTAAACCATAAACAAGTAAAAAAAAAAAACAGATAACTTCTGAAAGTGATTGATATGAAGAAAATGAAACAAATTAATGTGATAATTACTGGGTCACTATTTAGGTCATGTGGTGACTTTTTTTTTTAATAATAAATTTTATTGTTATATTCCCCATACAATTGCAGCCCCCCCATTCTGACCCCAATCTCTCCCCTCCCACCCCCGCCCCCTTAAAAGTGTCTCTGGTTCCGTAGTTTTTTGTTGATTTTGATTTTCACTTTCTTATAGTTATTTGTTTTCCTGGTCCCTTATTTAAGTTTTCTAGATTCCTGCTATGAGTGAGACCATCCGGTATTTTTCTTTTTCTTTTTGGCTTATTTCGCTGAGCATGATCCCTTCCAGTGCCATCCATGTTGCTGCAAATTGCATGTGTTTATCTTTTTTGAATGCTGAGTAATATTCCATGGTATATATGTACCACATCTTCTTGATCCAGTCATCTATTTTTGGGCATTTGGGTTGTTTCCAAAGCTTAGCTATTGTAAACAGTGCTGCTATAAACATAGGGGTGCAGGTGTTCTTTGGAATTGATGTTTCTGTGTCCTTTGGGTAAATACCTAGGAGTGGAATTGCTGGATCATATGGAAGCTCTATGTTTAGTAGGTCCAGAAATCTCCACACAGCTCTCCACAGTGGTTGGACCAGTTTGCACTCCCACCAACAGTGCAGAAGAGTTCCTTTTTCTCCACACCCTCGCCAACATTTGTTGTTGCTAGTTTTTTTAATATGTGCCATTCTCACTGGTGTAAGATGGTATCTCATGGTAGTTTTGATTTGCATTTCCCTGATGACAAGTGATGCTGAACATATTTTCATATGCCTGTTGGCCATTTGCATTTCCTCTTCAGAGAAGTTTCTTTTTAGCTCTTCTGCCCATTTTTTGACTGGATTATTTTCTTTGTTGTTGCTGAGTCTCATCAGCTCTTTGCAGATTTTTGTGATCAGTCCTTTATCATTAGTGTTGGGTGCAAAAATGTTCTCCCAGTTGGTGGGGTTTCTCTTTGTTTTTGTTATTGTCTCTTTTGCTGTGCAGAAGCTCTTTAATTTGATGTAGTCCCAGCTGTTTATCTTTGCCTTCACTATCACTGCTTTGGGTGATGTGTCTGTAAAGATGTCTTTGATGTGCAAATCACGTAGTGTTTTGCCTATATTTCCTTCTATATATTTTATGGTTTCAGGTCTTGTGGTGACTTTTAATGTGAACTTGAATATTCAGACGATACAGCCTTGCAAAGACCAGGAATAGGAAAGAAAGTTAAGGGGAAAAGTCAATGTGACTAGAAACAGTAAATATGAGAGCAGAGAGCTGTCCCAGTTATTTTGCAATCCTACATTTTCTAGACCATCTAGTCATTCGTGCCTTTCCCAGAAAATACAGCCAACCATGCATCTGTTATTGGGCAGAGTCTAAGAACTGCCATTGGGTCAGAACCTCTCACCAGTTCTGGGTCTTGCCACCTACTGCCAAAAGTGAAAACAGAAAGGTCTCCGTTGCAGGGAAAAAAAATACCCTGATTTATTCTAACCAACAGCATAGAGGAAGAAGTTCCACTTACCTCAATAATGCAAAGTGGAGTTGCTGTCATAGGAGCTGGCAGGGTGAGATGAGGCCTGCACACTCTGGAGCTGGGGCCAGTGGGACAAAGTGTTACCAAGTGCTGCCCCCATAAGGGCAGCAGGTTATGGCAGAGACCTGACATGCTAAGATCAGGGGATCCCCCTCACCACCACCAGCTGTCTGTCAAGAGGGGTGGTGACCCTACATAGCACCTCCCAGGAAAAAAAGAGTGACCCCACTATTAAAGTTTCCCAAAATGGCCACTCAGATCTGCCTCCTTTCCAGCAGCAATCTTGCTCAGGATATCAAGGGTGAAGTTCAGACTTGGCACTGCGCACTTCGTTGCCTCTGGCCTGACTGGTGTCTGGACATCAAGGGGGATAGAGTTAGCTTCTTTCCTCATCCTGGTAGTTACAGTTTGTGCCCAACCTGGGAGTCTGCCCTGAGGGTCCAGAGAATACAGGACTTAGCTATACCATGCCAGTCCAATAGATCCACTAGCCTAGAGTTATATCTGATCCAATATAACCTATTCTGGAGGTTGGGGGTGGGAAATGGCACTGGGTAGCTATTTATACAGACTAAGGAAAAGAGAAATCACAAGCCACTATGACTATCTTTATTCCTTGGTCATAATAACCCCAAATTCTGGATAACTTTTTTTTTAAATTTATTTTAAAGACTTATTTTTATGCATACAAAAGCTGGGGTATAGGCCAGAGGTGCAGGGAGTGAGAGGATTCACCAGAGACAGAGTGGGGAGTAGAACAGGCACACTGATGAAATACACTGATGAAGGGAGCAGTGGGCGAGTTAGGAGAGGTCTGCTGTGCCATGTGGGTAGCTCCCTGGCCGGCCGGGGATTGAACTCGTGCTGCAGAGGCTGCGTATAGCTTCTCAGTGCTGTGCTTAACCCCTTGTGCCACCAGGGAGGCCCAATTCTGGATAACTTTTTACTGTTGATAATAGGGAAAAAGCAAACAGAATAAAGAACTATGCAAATTCACAACTACTGGGAACACAAGTCAATAAAGTGTGCTCTGTACTCACAGAACAACATATGCAAAGATCACTTCCACAGATAAGTAGAAAATCTGAAGAGTGTTCAGGGAACAGAAAATAATTCAATTTAGCTATGACACACAATATATGAAGATTGCCAAGTTAAAATGTAAACATAGGTTGGGTAAATATCACCGAATACTTTTTATGCCAAGCAGTTTAACTCGATTCTGTGTGAAACTGAGATGTACCGAGAGGTTTTTTTGATTCCCCCCAATTTTTTTTCCATTATGGGATTAGGAGGCATTAGGGGATTGGAAATAGGCTTGCTCTGGCATCGCTGTTATCTTCCAGGTCTCCCTCACTTTCAAACTTAGGAAATTATAAAGCAAAGTTCCCAACAGTCCTGGATATTTACCCTGGTAGTTAAGTCAGGCGAAAGCTCCGCTGTAATAAAAAAAGAACTCTCTGGCAAGTTGAAGTTGAAGTTCAGTGCAGTTCAGTGCAGAAAGGAGACTTAGGGTAGAAAGAATAGTTAGAAAACCATTGTAATAATTTAGTTACAAACTAATGATTGATGATTAAGTAATGAGTCTGCTAGTGATTACCTTTCAAAATGCTAAATGTCTACAGATGATGAGTATAGTAAAATTGGACTTGATCTGGCCTCTTCATTGAAAGAACGATGTAACCTTAAGGAAACTCACTTGAATTTAGTGACTATATTTACATATGTAAAATGTTGGCAGCAGATAACTGTTAAAATTTGTGATCTTAAACACCCTGTTCAGCTAATTTAAAATGTGGTTGTGAAACACATTAATCTTCTAATTTCATAGAAATTTCTTAGACTAAAAGTAACTTAAAGGCAGGGATTTATTGATCTATTTGGCTAGCATATTAGGATTACTTTGTTTAGAACAAATAAATAAATGTTTACAAACACATGGTCTTTATAAAATATTTGAAATTAAAAGAAAAATATAAGTGCATCTGTTTCCTCTCATATTTCTCTTATACTTTGTGTTTGTGTGTTTAGGAAAATTTGGGATTTCACTATAGTTTTGTTGTCTGTTTTTCAACATTCTAGAGTGAGTAGTTTACTATACATCCATATAGAGTGAAAGTTATGTTCTTTTATTAGCTTTATATAAGTATGTAAAGTCTAGTCAATCCTCTATAGATTATATACTTCCATGTTTTTAGTAACATTGGGATATATGTGTATTTATCCCAAAATAATGAGACCTAGAATGCCTCAAAGGGCATAGTTCTAAGGTTTCCGATGTTATATAATTAATTGTACTGCAGCAAACTTGTCCATTACATTTCCACCAGTAATACATTAAAGTGTGTTTTGTTGCATTCCTATCAAATGTAGGTCTTTAACATTAAAATTCCCAACAAAGAAAAAATAACATCTCATTCTAATTTGTGTTTGAATAGAAAGTTGTATTTTTGTGTATTTATTGGAATTTTCTATTTCTTTCTATTTAAGAATTCTATTCAACTAATGCAAATTATCCTTTTGAATTGTCATTTAACTATGTAAGATTTTATATAGTAGAAATATTAAACTTTCATCTTTTGTAACTATTCCCAAAATTCCTTGATTATTTGTATTTTGTCTTGGTATTTCATGCAAGATGTAAATGATTTCATATTCAGTTCTTTTTATTTTTATTCTTACAAATGCCTTCATAGACGATATATATTTATCTATAATTTCTTTTAGTTCTTTTCTTTTACTAGATATATGAAATATTAATCCATCAACAATTTTACTTCATGTAAAAATTGTGCGTCAAATTGTTGATGGATTAGTATTTCATATATCTAAATTTTAAATTTTACTTCATGTAAAAATTGTGCGTCAAATTTCCAATTTGGAAATGTTTTCATTATAACTGGCTACCATTGTCAACTATCTTATTAGTTCTGATAGCTGATTAGTTGCTCTAGAGTTTTCTAGATAAGAATTTTTCTGCAATTCTATATAACTTTATTTTTTAGTAGTTTCGATGTTTCATTGATTTTTGTTTATTTATCAAGAATTTCCAAGAAAAAGTCCAGAGGAAAATGAATCCTTGTTCATCTTTATATCCCTTGGAGTGTTTGAAATATGTTCTGATCATGGAACTATACTTACTGACAAGATGAACGATATAAATTTTTCTGGTAAATCAAATAATTTCTATCTTAACAAATTTGTAACGTATACATTATTGTGTTTATTTCTAGGATGGAGAAATCAGTCGGGCTTGAAAAAGGCCACACAATTTACACAAAGTTTGAGGGCTATTTTAAGAAAAATCTCTTTTGATTCCCCCCATTTTTTTCCATTATGGGTTTAGGAAGCATTAGGGTATTGGAAGTAGGCTTGCTCTGGCATCGCTGTTCTGTTCCAGGTCTCCCTCACTTTCAAACTTAGGATATTATAAAGCAAAGTCCCCAACAGTCCTGGATATTTACCCTGGTGGTTAAATCAGGCTAAAATTCCACTGTAATAAAAAAGAATCCTCTGGCAAGGCAGGTTTTCACATTGTAATCGACCCGATTTCCAGGCTTTAACAGGGGAGAGGTCGCCCCGTTTGCTTTTTATCTGACGGCGCCAAATTCTCTTTGCGGGGGGCTCCGGGCCTTCATCCCCAGGGGCAAGCCCAAGTTCTCCCACCGCTAGGATTTACGTTCTTGAGGGCTGATCTCGGCTCCGGTCGCCTCCGCGCTGCCTCCTGCAGGCCGCCCGGTGGGACTGCTCAGGCGACGGCTCCCGCCGGGACCAGCAGGCCCGCAGCCCGGAGCCGGCACCTGCGGCTCCGCGTCGGCCGCCTCGCCACAAACTCCAGCCCGCAGCCTCGCGGCGGAACCGGGCCATGGCGCGGGTCCTGATCGTGGGCGCCGGGCTGACGGGGAGCGTGTGCGCCGCGCTGCTGAGGAGGGAGACGGGCGGTCGTCTGCGCCTCTCCGTGTGGGACGAGGCTGGGGACTCAGGTGGGTGGTCTAACGGCGGAAGCGCGGGAAGCGGAGTCGGCCCGGCGAGGGGCGTCTGAGGCGGCGTGGACCCCTCCTGCTAAAGTCTGTGAAGTAAATGCAGCCTCATGGCTCCGCTTGGCCCAGCTGCGGCCTGCGCGGGGCGCGCCTCGTCACGTGACGGGAGAAGCCCGTACCCGGAAGAGGCCTGCAAAGGGGTGACTAGGCAGCGCTGGGCGCGCGGCAAAAATGCTTGGAGGCGCCCGGGTGGGTGGTCTGGGAAGCAGACCTTAACAGTGTTTGGGCCGACTGCTGTCACTAATAAATGGATTTTTGTCTTAACCTGAGAGGCCTTTGCAACTTTCTCCAGATTATGAGAATCTCAAAGTGCCCCTATATCAAGGTTTTCTGAAGATCAAGTTTACTGAGTCCTTATTGTAATGAAACCTGACTTTTAAGAGTGAAAGAGCATTTGTTGATTTATTCAACTTGCTATTTCATTCAACATTTTGTTTTATCTTATCCATTCATTTTTTTTTTTTTTAATTTAGATTAGTAAGCGTGTGTCCCAGGCACAGTGCTGGACCCTGCTGCATCGTTCATGACTCTTCATGTCTCACCATCAATGAACAAATGATCTCTGTTAACTATTGTCTGGCAGTGTTAAATGACAAAACCCTCAACTTAAGAAAAAAGTTTTCTTATACTTATGTAAAGTAATCTGTTTGGATGAATAGCATTAATTATAAAAGTTTAATTCTGAGGCATTAAGGCATTTTCCTATGGGTTAATTCAAGGAGGAAGAATGACTACAGCCAGCAGCCCTCATAATCCACAATGTACAGTCGACTTGGGTGCTCAGTACATCACCTGTACTTCTCATTATGCCAAAAAGCACCAAAGGTGAGTTAGTTGAAAGGATTGGAATCAGTATCACTGATTGTATGGTGTAAAATGATACACTTTCAACAGGGTTAAATTTTGCCTCATAATATAGTGAAATTATTATGTCATTATCATTTTCGATGGTATTAGCAGTGTAAGGTTAACCTGAGAAAGTGGGGAAAACTGTAATACCTGACTCATAAGGTTGTGAAGATTGTATGAGATATAATAAGGTACATAGTAAAGGGTTCAGTAAGTATGAAGTACTTTGTTGGTCTGTGGAATCCTTTACCTTTTGTCTTCAGAGTTTAGTTTTGAAATATATGGAAAAATAGGCCTTTAGTTAATGTCAGCAAAAGGTGTATGGATTCTCAAACATTCCTGTTCTTCACCTGATTTATAAGCTTTATTTTACACAAAACATTGAGTTGATTATAGGAAGATTTCTAGTATTATGTAGGATTGACATCTCTAAAAGTTATTGGAAGAGAATGTGATATTTTAAAGCTAATTATATAGTTCTGTTAATATATGTTGATTTATTTCAGTTTTTATGATGAACTCTTAGCTTGTGGTATTTTGAAGCCTATGACCTCGCCTGTGGAAGGAATGGTGATGAAAGAAGGAGACTGTAACTTCATTGCACCTCAAGGAATTTCTTCAATTATTAAGCATTACTTGAAAGAATCAGGTGGGACTGAGATTTTCTCTTTTAAAATTAGCATTTAAAGGGCCTCCCCTGGTGGCCCCGCAGCCTCTGCAGTGCTGGTTCAATCCCTGGCCCTGGCCAGCCAGCGAGGGTCCTACATGGCGCGACAGACCTCTCCTTCCTTGCCTGCTGCTCCCCTCAGCAGTGTATTTCATCACTCTGCCTGTTCTGCTCCCCGCTCTGGCTCTGTTGAATTCTCTCACCCTCCCGCGCTTCTGACTGTACCTACCCAGTGCTTGTATAAATAAATAAATAAATCTTTAAAAAAAAATTTAAAAATTAGCATTTAAAAACAAAAGTTATACCCATAATATTGTATTGTAAAGTTATAAAATAAGGCGGATATTTTTCTATTCATCACCCAGAAGCTAAGTTTAAAAAAAAAACTATTTATGCATACAAGAGCTGGGGTGTAGGCCAAAGGTGTGGGGGGTGAAAGGATTCACCAGAGACAGAGTGGGGAACAGAACAGGGGGATTGACTGAAATACACTGTTGAGGGGAGCAGCGGGCCACACGCAAGAGGTCTGCTGTGCCATGTGGGTTAGCTCCCTGGTCTGGGATCAAACTCATGCTGCAGTGGCTGCCAATAGCGTCATAGCGCTGAGATTTAACCCCTTGTGCCACCAGGGAGGCCCACCTTAGTTTTCTTTCCCTAATTGCTGATAAATTTCCAGTGTATGATTCCAGAAAAATGTTCATAGATCTTTCTATTGATCTACAGGGTTGTTCCTTTTTATCTATACACTTGTGTTTATACTTTTCTTTTAAAAATACTACATAAGGGATTATTTTACATAAACTATTCTACACATTGTTTGGTTTATATCTTTTGTGTAATTTATATCAGAAAATTTGATGTACTGTTTTTTTTTTAGCAGCTGTGTACCATAATTTAGCTATTAACTTTCTGGTAAATACTTAGGTGGTTTGATGGTGAAGGATTGTTTTTGCTTTTGGCAATACCAACATTGCTGCATTGTTTAACCCTGATATAATTTTGTAAGGTACCTGAAGGCCAAGAAGAATAGATGTGGTAAATGGGGTATATGTTTTTAATTAAGTTGTGACGCCTATTCATCTTAAAGAATATCTTACTGTCATAATGAATGAGAAAGTCTGTTTCTACATCTTGATTTTACAGAAATTTTTGATTTTACTAATGCGATAGGTTAAAAATGGAATCTCTTGTTTTTGTTTTTAAATTAAATTTCTGTAGATATAGATATATTATTTAAATATATATATTTGTGTATATATAAAATTAAATATGTCTCTATCTATCTATTACATCATTGTTTATTTTTGTACAATGTGCACTTTCTCCTCTCAGGTGTAATCGCCATAAATTTCCTACCACTAAGTCACCTATGAACCATCACCATAGTCTCTGTGCTCTTCCCTCCCCTGTTTTGATTCCTCTTTCTCCCCCTTCCCTGCTGTATGTCTCAGATTTATAGTTTGCCTGCTAGTTTTGTCTCTCTTTTTTCCCCCTACCCCTCTGTTTGCTTTCTCAGTATACTTCCTATAAGTGAAACCATCCAATATTTTTCTTTTTTCTCTAACTTATTTCACTGAGCATAATCCCACCAGCTCCATACATGTTGCTGTGCATGGCATAAGTTTATCATTTTTGATTACTGAGTAGTATTCCATTGTATATATATACCACATCTTCCTGATACAGTCATCTGTTTTTGAACATTTAGATTGTTTCCCTATCTTAGCTATTGTAAATGGTGCTGCAATTGAACATAAGAGTGCAGATTGCCTTTTGAATTAATGATTTTGCATCCTTTGGGTAGATTCCTAGGAGTAAAGTTGCTGGATTATATGGTAGATGCATTTTTAGTAATGTGAGCGTCCTCCATACAGCTTTCCATAGTGGTTGGACCAGTTTGCATTCCTACCAGCAATGTAAAAGGGTAAAAGTGGAATCTCTTTTGGGTTGCATTTCCTTAATTATGAGTGAGCATATGTATTGTTGTTTCATTAACCAGGTCTTTGCATTTTTTTCTTTTATTCATTTTTTGTTCTTTCATTGGAAAAATGAGCATTATATTACCTATTGCAGTGTCTTGAGGAGTAAAAGATGCAATGCACTCATTGCCAATCCAGAGCAGGCATTGATAGGGTGATGTAACGGAGCCTGAGGTGAAAAGCATTCCTGATTAATGAGAAAGGAAGTAAATACAGTGCATCCCAGAGGCTGTAGACGACAAACCATTTTATTTACCTGCTGGATCCAGTATATGACACTTTGCCCCTTCACTTGTATGGAAAATCCTGACTATGTGAACATGAGTTTGCCTTTGAAACAGGTGCTGAAATCTGCTTCAGACAATGTGTGACCGAGATCAACCTGAAAAATGACAAGTGGGAAGTCTCCAAGGAAACAGGTTCCCCAGAGCACTTTGATCTTATTGTGCTCACAATGCCGGTTCCTCACATTCTGCGGGTTCAAGGTGACATCATGAACTGTGAGTCTCAGCCTAAGCTGTTTACCTTGGGGATTGGGGTGTCTTCGATCAGCATGAATTCTAACTCTATTTAACTCTATTAGCAAAGAGGATATCATGGATTCTATGGGTTTGCATGTTTTAAAAACTGATACTATTGGCTTGGTTTATAGAAGTCTACGCCAAACTGAAATTCAGATTTTTTTTTATGACTTAGAAGTTTAATATTTTTCTTATTGCCCTTGCCTTTAAGAAGTTTGATGAATAGGTGGTAGTTTGACCTAAAAGGAGAGGAGTCCGTTTGTTGCCATTTTGGAGAAAAGAAATTTTGTGATCAAGCTCTTGCTTGGGTTACCTCATTTTCTATAATTTTGCTTTCTGGGTTTCCCCCTAGTACTTATTTCTGTTTGAAGCAATTGTTTACTCCCACCATTAGGGAGAATTGTAAGAGAAGGTATAGGATGGGGGTTTGATGGGTAAATTATGCTGAAAGAGCTAAAATTATGCTAAAGAAGTTAAACTATAAAAAGGAATTAATGCTCACAAGCAATTCTTTCTGAAGTAATAAAGACAAAAAGGTATTTTCTTGCCAAGGACAACAAAGGCATACTTTAAGGAAGAATATGATAGGTTATTAATAGGCTATTGTCATATTTTCTTTAGTGATGTAGATGTCATTAATTTATAAGACTATATCAATTTTCATATGGGGAGAACTATTAAACCCTTGTGGAGAATTTTTTTAAACAATAAAAAATTTTTACTTATACTTTGTCATTGTTTCCTAGGGAGCATTTTAGGTTGATAATTTCATTGGATTAGGGACAAATAAGAGGCTAGACAAAGATTTGGTTGCTCCCAAAGAAAACTGAAATATATAAAAAGAGAGGATAAGGAATCAAGAATGGAATGACCTTGTCACCAAGAGCTGGTTCTTAATGTCTCATGAGTCTGTCTGACATTGCCATCTACCTCCACAAAAAAAACCAAAAAAATCAGCCTCTATTCCTTTCCAACACAGAAGCAATCTTATATATGATTTTTTTAAAATAAGGTTAACTACCTTATTAATTACCCTTCTCAGATATCAATTCTTTGAAGCGCATGAAATTATTGTCAGATTTGGTGGTAATTATTAATGAATTACCATCAAATATGATTTTACAATCAAATTTTGTAGTGCTATTCACTAGGCTCTGAGAATTCTTGATATTTATTCCTCGGGATATTACTGAGTATGCAGGATTATTAAGAATATTTAATGTGTTGATTATAATTTTCAAATGAAGGCAGGATATTCCTAAAAGCTGTTCTTCCATTGTGCACTATGTACTTATGTGCTTTATATATTTTATGTGTGTATGGTATGTGTGTTTTGAGAAATATTTTATTTATTTTTGTAACTATTTTATATTGAGTTACTATTGGTTTACAGCCTTGCTTCCCTAATAGAAGTGCAGTATCCCCTTTTCAGGCACTATTGCTATAGTGCTCACACTACCAAAGCACCCATAGTCTACCACCACACACCCTTGTGCTCCCTCCCTTTTTGTTAAGAAATATTTTAAAATAGGTTATGTTTATTTGACAGTGTTTCATTTCATGAACATGTAGATAACAGAAATAAAGCAATATTTAAATAGTGTCTATTATTAAGGTAATATGTATGAAATTATAATTTCATAGGTCAAAAATAGTCAAATATTGGCTATTTCATGTGGTTCAACCTAAATACTAAATACATGTGCATGTAGAGGTAGGAAAGAAATTAATGAAAAAAGCCAGTAATGTGAAAATAATGAAGTACATCTGAAGATTTTTTAGGATCATAAAGACGACTTTGACATGTACTTCTAATTTTTATGTTATTTCTGATTATAGTGCTATTCAAAAAAATTTTTGAAGTATAATCAAGACTTCATTATCTCAATCTTTCATTTTTATCTTTTGAATTGGTGTTGTTTTTATTTATTTATTTATTTTTTAAAAAGATTTAGTTTTTTATTTATGCATACAAGAACTGGGGTACAGGCCAGAGGTGTGGAGGGGGTTGTGTGAGAGGATTCACCAGAGACAGAGTGGGCAACAGAACAGGCAGACTGACTGAAATACACTGCTGCTGAGGGGAGCAGCAGGTGAGTCAGGAGAGGTCTGTGCTGTGTGGGTAGCTCCCTGGCCGGGGATTGAACTCATGCTGCAGTGGCTGCACATAACTTCATAGGTTACATCTTAACCCCTTGCACCACCATGGAGGCCTATTTTTACTTTTAAGTCTTTACATATTGCAATCAGTTTAGCATTATTCTCTTTTCATACTAACCTTTGTTTAGTTTTTAAAAATAAAATGTGTGGTGGCATGGGTTTGTGTGGAGGGTCAGATTTCCAACTTTTCCTTCAAATTGACTGTAATCTACAAATGGCCAGTTTAGAAGTACCCTTTACATGCAAATATTTTTCCTAATGGACAACTTCTATTCATTCTTTTTTTTTAATTTTTTTTTAATTATTTGTGCATACAAGAGCTGGGGTACAGGCCAGAGATGTGGGAGATGAGAAAATTCAGAGACAGAGTGGGGAACACAACAGGCAGACAGACTGAAATACACTGCTGAAGGAAGCAGTGGGAGAGTCAGGAGAGGTCTGCTGTGACTTGTGCGTTGCTCGCTGGTGGCTGGGGATCAAACTTGTGCTCAGAGGCTGTGGATTACTTCATAGCGCAGTGCTTAACCCCTTGTGCCACCAGGGAAGCCCTCTATTCATTCTTAAGGGTGAGGAGTTGGATACCTAAGATAAGCAGCAACGTCTGATAAAACTATAGGCATTCACTGTGACTCAGCACAGGTGGGAGATAGTGGACATTTGCACTTTTTTTTTAATTAAAGAGTAAAATATTATTTTAATTATTTTAATTTTTTTCTTTCTCTGGATCAGTTTATTATTTTATTTATTTATTTAAATATTTTATTTTATATAATTCTTATATCTTTTTTCATCTTTGCACAATGTATGCATTTTCATTTTGGTTATATTCCCCATACAAATGCACCCCCCCCCTTATTTTGACTCTAGTCCTTCCTTTCCCCACCCCTCCCCCCCACCCCCATAGTGTATCTTTGGTTTATAGTTGCTTGTTGATTTTGATTTTTACTTTGTATTGATTAGGTTTTTTCCTGGTCTCTTATTTAGGTTTTCTAAATTCCTGCTATGAGTGAGACCATCTGGTATTTTTCTTTTTCTTTCTGACTTACTTCGCTGAGCATGATCCCTTCTAGCTCCGTCCATGTTGCTGCAAACTGCATGTGTTTATCTTTTTTGATTGCTGAGTAATATTCCATTGTGTATATGTACCACATCTTCTTGATCCAGTCATCTATTTTTGGGCATTTGGGTTGTTTCCAAAGCTTAGCTATTGTAAACAGTGCTGCTATAAACATAGGGGTGCAGGTGTTCTTTGGAATTGATGTTTCTGTGTCCTTTGGGTAAATACCTAGGAGTGGAATTGCTGGATCATATGAAAGCTCTATCTTTAGTAGGTCAAGAAATCTCCACACAGCTCTCCATAGTGGTTGGACCAGTTTGCACTCCCACCAGCAGTGCAGGAGAGTTCCTTTTTCTCCACAACCTCGCCAACATTTGTTGTTGCTAGTTTTTTTAATGATGAAACTCAACAAAAACAAAGAAAATAATTCAGTCAAAAAATGGGCAGAAGAGCTAAAAAGAAACTTCTCTGAAGAAGAAATGCAAATGGCCAACAGGCATATGAAAAAATGTTCAACATCACTTGTAATCAGGGAAATGCAAATCAAAACTACAATGAGATACCATCTTACACCAGTGAGAATGGCACATATTAAAAAAAACTAGCATTTGCACTTTTATTCCCAGAGATGCTGGGTACCAAGGGAGGGCTTCGAGGGGGATAAGAAGAGGACATACTAATACCTAAATTAGAATTTATAATAGGCATGTGAACGGGGCGGGGGGTGGGGGGGTGGGTCTTGGTGCTTAAGTCCACTTGGATGCAGAAGTGAGTACAGGACTTCGGTATCAGCAAAAGGAATATGTGAGAACAGCAAAAGAAATATGTGAGAAGCCTGATACATTTCCTGGACTAAATGTTAGAGGGAGATTCAGCTATGAAAGATAAAGGGAACAGAGATATGAATTAGGGCCAGGAAATATATATTTTTAAAGATTATTTATGCATACAAGATCTGGGGTGTAGGCCAGAGTTGTGGGGGGTGTGTGTGTGAGGGGATTCACCAGAGACAGAATGGAGAGCAGAACAGGAGGACTGACTGAAATGCACTGCTGAGGGGAACAGCAGGTGAGACTGGAGAGGTCTACTGTGCCATGTGGGTTAGCTCCCTGGCTGGGGAATGAACTGGTGCTTCAGTGGGTGCAAATAGCTTCATAGTGCTGAGATTTAACCCTTTGTGCCATCAGGGAGGTCCCAGAGCCCACTTTTATATACTCAAAGTTCCATATACATTCCACCATACTTGTCATTTTGGATTGGTTGCAAGTACCTCTAATGAAGTGAATTCCTTTGTCAACCAATTTGTATGCCACTGTGTCTATTTTTTTTAAAGAATCGCCATTTTCTAGAATCTTTGAGACTGGTATTAAGGAGAGCTATTGTGAGTCGGGAACCCAGGAATTGAGTCACTGTAGTTCATTTTGTGTGATTACTTTAACCCCACATTTTGAAGTTCATCATTCTTTTTCTTCATTTCTTACTGCCAATTACTGTGCCAAAAAGCTAGAGATCCTGTCACATCATAGTTTTTATTTCTAAATTTTTTAAACTATTCTTTTTTTTTTTTAAAGATTTATTTATTTATACAAGCACTGGAGTACAGGCCAGAGGCACGGGAGGGTGAGAAATTCACCAGAGAAAGAGCGGGAGCCGAACAGGCAGAAGGACTAAAATACACTGCTGAGGGGAGCAGCGAGCAAGACAGGAGAGGTCTGCTGCACCATGTGGACAGCTCCCTGGCTGGGGATCCAAGTAGAGCTGC